ATTTTGCTTTTGACATTACTCTGGATGTGAAAACTACTCAGTCCTCCTAATGAGTATTTTCGCTTCACTTTGTCTAATTGCCATCCCATGCATTTCTGCAGATCAGACAATGTGTTTAGTTGAAATTGTGTTTAATTTTGGCCATGCGGATATGATTTCTTCTGGCTCATCAAGATGAGAGGTTGCTAGTCCTTGAAACTTTCAGATTTTCAGTGTTGGAAAAATCTCTACTAGAACTTTCAGAAATCTTCCTCAGCTTACAAAAGGTTTTACTTCTTAAAAAAAAAAAAAAAGATCGTAGTCTCATCTTCATGTAAGTCTGTCAGTTATTCTGTGACTTCTTAATTGTCCCTGCTTAGTTTCATTCAATATATGCGTGGTCTCTCTGCAGCAGCCTTGCTCCCCAGAAGCCCGGGATTTTTTTGGAAACATTTGTCTTAACGCTATTTATTTCCAGTCTTTGTTAATTTTGGACTGCTCTTTCATGGTCTATTATGCCAGAAGAGCTTTTCATGTCTTTTTCTTGAGTATGGCAATCTGTACTAGTACCTTACAAAATGTCAATAATGCTGTTTTTGTCAGCACTGCAAACAGTTCCTGTGATAGAGTTCTTGTCCAGTGTCTCACCTCACCTCTGCCCTCTGCCATGTCTGCATCAGTAATTTTCCTGTCAAAGGTTGAAGGGCCAAATTTTGGATTATGCTTCTCTTTTTCAATTGTGCAGCAGCATTTTTCATGTGTTCAACCAGCGTTTAGGGACTAAAAGGCATTTGAAGTTCTAGATAAAATTGCTCATCTTGTACAATCTAGTTTGGCTGACTTTTCTTCTTGAAGGCTTTGTTTATGTGGAGTAAAAACATGTTTGATTGGAAGTGAGTACGACCCAGTGTGCATCAGGCAGTGAAAACTCTCTTGTTTTTTTTTTAAATATTAACGTTAGAGTAGCTTTTTGGATCTTGAATGAAAATGCCAAACATTGTCATGTGAGCAGGCTGTCTCCTGAATGAACCAACCTGCATCTGGGCTGATTAGTCAATAACCTGTTAATTTAAAAATGTCTGTAACTGAGTTTGGACAGTTAGTGATGAAAATAACTGATGACTGAGGCCTTAAATAAATTTAATGTTTCCTTTCTCCTTAATTCCTAACCAGTTCTTGATTTCTAATGAGTTAAGAAAAGATGAGTGGGCTGCAGCTGTTAGAATCTTTGGAACTCATTAGAATCTTTGGAACATGATGAAAACAGTCAGTTCAACTAATTTACTCTGTTCAGTAAAGCTCTGTTCAATATAAACTATGACACAAAACTTTTTATATTGTTGGTAAAAACCTATGTTTATTTTTAAAAATTTAAATGCTTTTTTAAAACTTTCATATATTTTAGTGTGTTTTTCTAAAAAGTATTGACATGCATGTCAGTATTTTGTTTACAACATACTGGAAGTGTGGAACTGTAATCCTTGCTGTGTAAATGCACCTAAGTGTACCAAATTAAGAATATAAAGGCAAAAATATAAAATAGATTTCTGTTATGGAAGGATGTTAATTCAACAGGGTCAGAACAGAACATCAGGGGACTCTGTTATTGAGGGTTGCAGTCATGCAGTTACAGCCCCTTAGCCAACCCTAAGCCTAACTTTATTTCATCTCCATCAGCTGTTGAGATCTCCCTCAAAGTGCAGTAATTTCTCCCAGGCACTGTGGTGCATTTTTTCCTTCAAGAGGAAAGATACAAAGCTAAATGTAGTGAATTCTCGCTTCCCTGTTATCAGAAGATTGGCAAACATGTTTGCCAAATGCAGTTAGCAGCTTGTAGCTAGCAGAACCAGAAGCTCAGGTTTGGGCAGGTGGTATTACTTGCACATAAATCAGCATGTGAAGTCTGAGGAGATGATACAATGAATGTCTACCTGAGGATTCTGACACAATTTTTTATTTATTTTTCTTTGTGCATCCTTGATGTAAGGTTAAAAAAAGCACAAAGCTCTTCCAACCAACCAAATAAAAACCAAAATTCCTCCAGCATTTTAGATCTATTCAGGTTAAACAGTTGGAGGAAAGAAACAATCATAATTTGTCAATTGCAAAAGTATGTTCAGACTAGTTTTTTAATGTATGTTTAGAACTAGATTGCAGATCTTGGTTTCTTGTGAAGAATTTGAATTTATTTGCCTCAGAATTGTTTGAATGTATTGCTTTTATGACGTTTTCCATATCAGTGGCCTCCAAAGTTAGATGTAGAAGGTCATCCAGTGAAATGTGGGAAGAAAATCTAGGACTTATATTTTACCTGAAAAATAAGAAAGAAATTAAGCTATATTTAGTATACATATTGACACTGGCACCCTGTGTAGGTCTGTATGTCGGATGGTCCTATGTTACATTTGGTTCGTGAGATGTCCTGAAGACAGATTTAATATTCCACAGTATGATGGGGTCACAGTAGCACCTTCATTTATTCATTCACTTCCAGTGTATTGTAATGGATGCAGTTTACTTGTGCCCAGTTAGGAGGATTTTTTGGATTATGATATTTAATTTGTACTAAACAAACCCTCACAAAATGGGCAAGTGGCTTAAAGAATTCCTGCAAATAGACCATGGATTGAAGATAATACTAGTAATGTGAATAATAAGAATATTGTAGAGCTGATGCTTCTTCTACTCCTAGCATGAGCTCTTGGTCATATATATTATGAGATGAAATCATTGGCAATTAGATCTGGCAAGAAGTCAGCCAAAACAATTTGGTTTATCAAGAATGGTATTTCAAATATGGATGTACATCCGCTATTGGAAATGATGAACATTGTTTCTTGAAGTATCAGCTAATGATATTATGAAGCCATCACCATTAGCAAGGCATTTAAAAACTAAGCACCTAGAACATGAAGACAAACATCTACAATTTTTTTCAGCAATGATAAGGTCATGCTATACTCAATCCAAGACTTTACAAGATTTCACTAAACTTACTGACAGATCATTAGAAGCCTCTTTTGAGACTTCTTAGTAGCAGAAGACACAGATACTGTTAGGGAAACATTTCATCTTCCTGTGGTAGTATAAATGGCAAACAATGTGGTGACAAACTAAAACACATTCTTTTGTCAGCAGATACTGTTGGAAGATGTCTGGAAAATATTGCCAAAGTTCTGAAGAAATAAATGTCAGAAAAAATAACAGAGTGGGAGAAGCTTGCTGTACAGACAGTTGGATGAAAGTATAGGTGTTTGTGGTGTGGCTTGACTTATGATAATTGCTAGATTCTGTGTCTATAATGAAATTCACAAAGAACTAAGTCACTAGGGAAAGATGTACCAGACAAGAGACATTCTTAACCATAAATTCTAAACAGTATCTTCTTTTATAACAACATTTTTTTTAAATGGAAAAACTGTACAAAAGTAACCATAGATGGAGTGGTTGATTTGACCAAAGTAAAAAAGGTTCTTGGCTAAGGTTACAAGTTGAGCACCACTTGCAGGATTCATTTGCTACGTCATGCAGAGGCAAGCAACAAGGAAATTGGAGCCATAAGTGCACAAAGTGCTGCAGGATGTCATCATTGTGGTTCATTGTGTGAAAACAAACCCTTAAATAGTAGAGTATTTAAAATAATCTGTAATGACACTGGGTATGACCAAGAATATCTTGTGTACTGTGCAGAGGATCACTAGTTATCATGGCAAAGTGCTTAGAAGGGTTGTAAAGCTTGAAGATTAATTACATGTTTTATCTCACAAAAATACAAATGTTACGAATTTCCTGATCTGTTTGGTGATAACAGTCAGCAGTATGCTGACTATCAGTTATTTTCAGAAAAATAAAGACACTTAAAGAACTTTCCCTTGAAGGTGAAGATGGTATTTTAACAAGCAAGAAACCTAATGCTTTTTGAAATAAACTGATGCTATGGAGAAAGCATTTTGAAAGTTTTCTTGTGTGATTTTTGTTGCCAGAAAAGAGGTGTTATCTCTAAAACCTTCCATATTTGTATGCTTAAACTTGGAAGCAGAATTTCATTATTGGCATAAAGGTCTTCCCAATTAAGAGTTTCAGAATCTGAAAATTTGATAAAAGTATAAAAATGCAATGCCTTCCATTGGTTTGCAATAACAAGTGATTGATAACATAAGATGGGAATTTACTGGCCAAATTTCAAGAAAAACCTTTTCATAATTAGTGGATGGAGATGCAAAATGAGTGTCTTGATTTAGAAGGTGATGCACTTTGATTTGGATGTACATATCTTCATAAATTGTGTTTTCCAACTGTGACAGCCAAAGAACTGAATTTAAAACTAGACTTTCAAATCACTGTGCTACAAAGTTTTAAGTCAACATTTTAAAAAATGCTGAAGCATATTCAATCACACAGCTCTCACAAAAAAAAGAAATTAGTAAGAGCAAAAGGGTTTTTTATCATTAAAATTCTTTATTTTTTATTTCATCTTTTCATGCCCTTGTCAAGTGCATTCTGTCTCCATAGATGAAGGAAGTGATTTGTGGGTGGACAACAGTGGGGCAGAAAGCTGGTGGCAAATCTAGGGACAGCATGCAAACTATTTGTCTGAATTGCTCTTGTTGATTGAGTGTATTGTTCTGGTGACAGCATGATTTTCAAGTATGTAAATATTTCAAATGTTTTGTTCATTTGAAGCTGTTGGTGCTCAGCTTATCTGAAATCAGACCACAAGTATGTCTTCTAGAGAGAATTATTGATATATCACAGCTGAAATTTCTGTTCTTGCCTTACACAGTTGTTCTAAATTATGTAAATATATATGTTACTGAAGTGTCTTGGCATCCTTAGAGGTGTAACGTGGGACAAATTTCTAAAGTGATGTCTTTTTTTAACTGCTGTTATGAAATAATGTGTTCTGCTGTGCCTAAATAATATTTGGTGACTTCTTGATTAGCTGAACCTTTTATTTAATAGCTGTAGCTAACATGCAGAGATAAGTACTTTTTAATAAGCTATCTGTTTGCTTTTTTTAGGCTGAAGCCTAAACCTCTGACATGGCCACAGCCTCACCAAGATCTGATGCAAGTCACAACCGTAATGGAAGATTACAGATGCAAGTAACAGGCAAGTACTGATTTGCATGATAGAGATTTTTACAGGAAAACATATGTATTCCACAAAAGCAATCCTGGAATTGAGTGTAAAAATGAACTAATTAATGTTTTAATTGATGATATGAATGTTACAGTTAATAATGTGACTATAATATATGTAGATGATTTGAAGCTAAATAGAGATGATACAGTGAGTTGCATGACAGGGTTTAATAAATCTTCAAAATAAAAAAAAAATAAAAGAAGGTATTCTCTACAAAAGTACAGACAATTGCAAGAAATTTTGCTTGAGAACAAGTAGTTAGTGACATGTATTCTGAAGAGGAAACACATATTACTGAAATTCTAGGAAAATGATTGGTGGTTGTAATGAGCCCCAAGCTGAAAATGGGTACAACATTTAAGTGAAGGTGGAGAACTGGAGAAGATCACAACATTTTCTATCCTTTCAGAAGATTAAGTTCTTTTATTACATATCAGGTAAATATTTGTAGAATATAATATCCTTAGTGCCACAGGTTGGACTAAACAGACATATGTAGTTCAGTAGGGACCTTTGGTGATTCCCTAATCCACTCTTCTGATGAAGGCAGGGCTACCTTTGAAGTTGGATCAGGTTGCTCCTTATATTGTCCAGTTGAATTTTCAGTATCTCAAAGGCTGTAGATTACCAGCTTTACTTGTGATAAGCCATGTTAATTTGCATCTTTTTTCTTTCTATCCAGTTGCAATTTGCTATGTTGTCTCTTGTGACTGTTTACTTTTTTTCCTTTTGCTCTACTAGTTCTCACAGTTTGAGGCAGAAATCAGCCATCATAGTACCTGTGGCAGGGAAACACAGTAGGCTGCAAAGAGTCCTGGGAATTTCTGATTGTGCTGGGGACGCTTTTTCAGTAGATTTTGAACAGGCCAAGTAGATTATCCATTTTGCTACTGATGGACAAAAACTAGTCAAAGATGTAGCAATTGTTGTCAGTCTTAGCTACTCTGTGGCATAGTAGAGCAGAACTGAGACTTCCTTGTAGTCTCAAGGTAAGCAAAGTGCATCTAAGTAAACAAGTTTGAAATTAATTGTGACAGTGTTGCAGCTATTAAAAGTAAAAATGTTACCAGCACATAGATACATAGATATGCTACAGTACATGTATACACCTATCATATATAGATATATATATATATATATATGTGTGTGTGTGTGTGTATTTATGTGTATATACCACTGATAAGTAACTTAAAATTTCCAGAGATTTTGAGAAATCAGGGAATGCTAAAGTAAAAATGGATGCATAGTCAATACTATATTAAGGCTATCCTGAACAAAATTCGGGAAAAACATGAATAAGGTACCATGTCTTAATTAAGGCTACATCTAAAGAAAGGTGCATCTTGCTGGATGATCCAAAGATGGCCAGGTTATCTGAGAAAAAATATATTGTTTAAAAGTCCCCTAAATTGATATTTTATAAAATTAGATAAGTGAGGAACCTCAAAAATTATTAACCTTATGTAAGGAGCACATTACTCAAAAATGTGATGAATCAAAACTAGCAATAACTAACAGCAGAGATGCAGCCACCTATAGATTGAATATATATATATATATATATAACTGTAAACTGACTTACACAAATGATCTTTAATTTCAAACCTGTGTATACAGAAATGGTAATTTTTTATCCTGTGCTGATCTGCTCCTTATGTAGATAGTTTTGTATTTTTCTGGTACTGGGACCTCTTTTGACTCCAAGAAATCTGGGTCAGCGCTCAAATGGGAAGAAGTCTTTACAACATTTGTGATTAGTTTTCTGAAGGTTTAGTTCTCTAAACCTGGTCTTTATTGCAAGTTCAGAGGAATGAATGCCAGTGGCAGTATCATAGGGAAAGTAGTGTGAGACAGAGGAGAGTGGGACTGTAGTATTGCTGACCTACACTGCATTTTTATGTGCAGGTTTTTTTTCGTTTCTTTGCTGTAGAAGCTATACCTATATTTCAAGAGCTATACTTAAAAAATGCTTTCATAAAGGCAGCAAGGATCATAGACTCATTTTGCAAAAAGCAATTCATATGGAGTGATTTGTTTGAGTTTGGACAGATACATCGTGTTGTAGGCATGTTTTGGCATCAGTATTTGTTCAAATATTCTTGGTCGGATCTTGTCTTGTTAGTTCTTTTGGAAGTCTTGCTGATATTATTACTAATTCATAGGTTTTTTTAAGAAGATGTCCTAACCAAAAGATGATAATGGTCTCCTTTTATGTCTGGGGACTCAAAACTTACTAACTTGAAACATAATCAGATAAAAGAGGGGAAATTAAAAGGAAGCTTGAATATCATTACTAAATAACTGTATTTTAATAGGTATTGTATTTTCCTTTGGAAAGCAAATTCTAGAGGAAAATGTGGAAGAAGTAGAGGTTGTCAAAGCTTAAAAATATATCATGATTTCAGATGGAAAAATATGACTTGTGTGTGGAATTACAGTTTCAGTTTTCTATATTCCAGCTTTCATCATTACCACACTGCAGTTCACTTTTATGACTCATGATGCATTACTAAGACTGGACTTTCCAAATGTGAAGGAGTTAAGTTTGCACCTTTTATTTGAAACTAAGTAAAAGTCCATGGCTAGTGCCTTTAGAATCTTGGGTGGTTACATCCCACTAACTTTTAAATGACTAATGTATATGTCTCAGAATACTGCAGTCCAGAAATATGTCTCCCTTTCAGTTTAGTAAAATTCCATGTTGAATTAGCAAGTACCAGAAAGGAAAGGAACAGGGAAGAATTATTTCCAAATGGCTGAAAATACTCAGCTCTGTTTTAGTTTGCAAGTGGAGGGAACAAGAATTACACTGAAGCAAGGGAGGAATTAGAGAGAAAGCACAGCCAGCAGGTAAATATAGTTGAGAGTCCATTCTTGTGGTCTTTTCAAGACACCATCTGCCTGAAATAGAATTTAAAATCTTGTCAGTTGCTATTGGTTTTTATAGTGACTTCCTCAGCTGGGCATGGAGGAAGGAGACCAGATTTATGTTCAGTAGCACAGAGGAACTCACCAGTGATTTGGAGGTGAAAATACCTTATTTGGTCAGTGGTGCTTCTTAGTTTTTGAATATTTACCTGAAACCTTTGAGTTACACACCTGCAAAGGTGTGTAAATAGGGGAAATCAACGAGTCGGTTTCTTAATTTTGACAAATTGATGTATAAATCCACAAATTCAACCATGCAGTAGTACAAGCAAAGAGATGAAACTCTGTATACAGGCTTTGCTATGCAGGGACATTTTGAAATAGGCATGAGCTGCATCGGCTTGCATAACAATATATAACTAAAAAATAAAGTCTGTCCCTCAGATGCATTGTTAGATGCATCATCAGATGTATCATACTTAGGCATTTTTCAGTTAAGGGAAGAATAGGGAGAACAATGAGGAAATAACCTATATAATTATGCTGTCTCTACAACCAGTCCTGCCAGTATGTGGGGAGTGTGTGACACTTAGTTTCAACTATCTAACAGAGCAGCTTCTGAAAATAAAAGCTACCATTTTTGCATTGACTTCTTTCTGTTCAGCAGAATTAGAGAAGGTGAGGAAAAACACTGCCATGCAAAATATTTCATACAGTGTGTAGGCAGTACATTTTCTGTTTTTCAGCAACAGTATGCTGTTATAGATAAAGTAATGTATTTTATTAGTTTCTAGTGCCAAACTGAAACGGAAAAAGAATTGGTTTGGAACAACTTTCTACACGGAATTAAGTGCAGATGGAGAAATTAAGAAAACAGCAAAATCAAGTAGTTCTTCAAATCCCAAATGGGATGAGCAGCTGACAGTGTAAGTAAATTCTTTGGTTGTTTGATACTATTTATTAGACAGACATTGCAGGCAAATATTTACTAAGCTTGGCTGCCTACATAGTTTGCTCTGGCTGTTGATGTCTAAATGCAGACATAAGTTGGTATTTATCACAAATGATTTTTTTCTGAATCCTTACAATGTTTTGAGAATATTTTTCCTACAGTGTGTTACTTGCGTACAGTGGCTGTACATGATATAGTCTTGATATTTGTTCAGCACAAGTTTCTAGAAAAACTTATTAATTGTAACCATGTAATTCTCAACTTTAGAAGGAAAAAAGTCTCAACTGGATAAGTAATAGCTTTGAGGATGGTCACTTCTTCCTTTGAATTTCCCATTGAAGGGATATGCACACAAAAAACTGCAAAGTTACCTTGCAACTTACCCTGATGTTTGACCGTTTTAATCTTCTTGTGGTTTAGTTTGGTTTAACTATGCTAGGGCTGCATACCTGAATAGGACTCCATGAAGAACTGGCAATCTTGAACTTGGTTAGAATGTTTTATTGACAAGCAAGATTGTGTTGGTTCAGACTTGGGTCTGGAAACAGCACAGTTCCTATCAAGTGGCATTGAGTCTGGGCCAGTACATTTCTGTACAGCATCTGACACGTCTGTGTGCAATAGCCAGCTTTGTTAGCAGTAGGAGCCATGCTGGATTCCAATAACAGTGCTGGAGAGCGGGGAGTGGCACATCTTTGGGCAACTCTTTCCTTGGGAACACTTAGTTACTCCAGACCTGGTCTGAAGCAAGTAGGTATTCCTGTGCCTCATTTCTTGGTATTTCAGATTTAGTGAACTTATTAGCCCTTTTCAATGTTGCAAAAGATAATAATGCAGTTTTGGACCTGAGGATGATTTCCAGGATCAAGAACTAGAACAAATACAGAGCTATCAGTATATTCACAAAGACCTGAGTTTCTCTTGAGGAGGCAGGCTTGATTTGGCAGGATCTGATGATCTGATAGAAATGAGGTAAATTGCAGTGCATAATAAAGGCAGACTCATTTCATAATGAGTATTGCTTACTTAGGGTTTTACCCTTACATGTATTTTTAAGGTATTCTGACCCCCTCTTCCCCTGGCTGTTGGAATGGTATTTGAGGTTAAGTGACCTCTCTGGCTTACCAAATTCCCCTCACTTCTATGGGTCAGCAATATATTTGTGTGTGTAGGTGTTGGGGATATTTTCCTTTACTTTGTTGAGCTGCTCTTCTACTAAGACTTCCCTTAGAAGGCAGTTTATTCAAAATGCAAAAATATATTTACTCGTGTTTCAGCAAAAATGGACCACTTTGTCCAACATGCTCAAGTGACTGTAGAGCTAGTCCTGTTGTTGGGACAGTGGGGCTTTTTTTGTTGTTATTTTCATCATTGCTGATAAAACTTTCTGTATATATTAGGTCAATACTGATGAATTTTGGCCTTTTACTTTTTGCAATGAAGTACTTCTCCCGTTTTTCATAGCCAAGAGCACCTTTGCAGTACTAAACCCTGTATTACAAAACTTACTCTCCAGGACCTAGCATAGGTTGAGCAGGGGAGAGATCAATGCCAAGGCTTGTCATAATATTACTGCAAGTGGGTCCTTTACCTTTCTGCTTCTGTCCAGTTTTTACTTTAGCTTCATCATTTGAATTTTCCCCTCTGATTTCTGTGAGTATGCCTTATGGTTTTATATATATTTGTGGATTCACAAAAAATGTTTATCAGCACTTCCATGGCAGGCTGATACCTGTTGAGTGGGTTCTTCTTGCTTGCAAATAGATGCTTCATTGCTTTTTCCTTTTTTGAAAAACATATAGTATTTTTCTTTTCAGTGACAAACAAATATACTTCCCACCTTTTTCTCCACATTTAATAATGTAAGTTTTCAGCTAGAGCTCCGAAGGAATAGGGGAAATAAGCCTTTCATAAATAAAGATATGTTTGATATAACTGAGATTTGAGCAGTGTGTAGGTTATTCTGATACTTCTCAAATACCTGATGCTATCATAGTAATGCACTTTAAGTTTGATCCTAAGTGTAAATATCATAGTGTTCTCAGTTCTTAATTAAAAATTTCCCCTTGCAATACAAAATTTCACTTTGGTAGTACCAAGAAATACAATGAGAAAGTGAATAAAGTTCAAATACTCCTAATAATAATAATGAATTCTTAAAAATCTGTATATATTTTTTAAAAAAATGTATTTTATATGCAGGAATGTGACTCCACAGACTACGCTGGAATTTAGAGTGTGGAGCCATCACACTTTAAAAGCAGATGCTTTATTAGGAAGAGCCACTGTAGACTTGAAACAAGCTTTGGAAGTACACAATAGAAAATGTAAGTTATCATGAAGGATATTTTGAATAAAGTAAAATTATTATTACAATTATTATTATTACTAATCTATATATCAAACCGGCAACTGAACTACTAACTCTACATGTAATTACAACTGATTTTCAGTTGATATCTTTACTTATCTCTTTAGAGATGTCTGTTCTACTGAGAGTATTACATTTTAAATGTAACAATGGGATATAATACTTTTGAAACAAACAGTAGAGTATTAGTTGCTGAAAATTAAGTAAAAGCAGAAGTTATTAAATACAATATTTTGTAGCAAGCTAGTAACTAATTTGATAGAAGATCTGTTTTACATTTGGTAACAAAAAAAATAAATTAAACTTTCATAAAAGCCATGTAATTTTTCATGTTTTCCTTCTCTGGAGTCACTAACAGAAAGGCTGGATATTTGTCATAATTTAGCTGCCCAGAGAGCAATAGAAAACATTGATTAATGAAACAATTGTGATCTTCCTTTTAGTACATTAGAGATTCTTTGTTCTGTGTAACTTCTAATATTAAATACTTTTAATAGAATGTATCTAATTTTTTTGCAATTTTTTTTCCTGTAGTACAACAAGATGGTGAATCCACACTTTAAATTCCACTCCAGAGTGGCAGTAGAATTCCAGCTAAAACAATCTTAGCCTTTCTCACAAGTTATATATATAAACCTGAGGTGACTGTTTAGAAAGTTGGGGGGAAAGGGGAACAAAAAAAAAGCTTAATTTTTCTGATTCTTAGAGAAAATTGAAACAGAATCCAAAATTAAGTGGGACTTCTTCAACAGCATTATAATGATTCAGCAGTAAACGTCATAGTTAAGCAGAAAAGTTTCTTTTTAAATAAGAAAACTGTATCAGAAGAAACTGGGTTTATAATAATATTAGCCACAAAAAAGTAATTAATATTTTAACAATATCTAACAAAATAGTTAACATTTTATTATTGTAGATCCAGGGGAGGTTGGGTCTACCAACTTCACAAATTCTTTCAGGGTATGATTGACTGAGTTTGCTGTACATTGCACCAAAAGTAATTTATGTGCAATGTTTCTTATTTGGGCAAGTCAGTAGTTAGACACTTACTGGAATACCTAAGAATTGGTAGACTGATTGGTATCCTTCATTCATTTAATTATTGATGCCTATTCTAAAATGCAGCACTTGAAAGGCTCTTTGCTGATGAATATGGAACGGGAAGTCCTCTAAATGCAGAAACTTTAGAATTAATTTGGTTACTTTTCCTGCTAAACACTACGAGTATTAAATTGCTGCCCACACACCTCAGAGTTTTCTTGCCAGCTCAGTTGAACTACAGCCAACAGTTGATCTGGTTTAGGAAGATAACCTATTAAAATACCAGAAGTTAAACCAATCACCCTCTACAAAAATTAAAAATGTGTTAAACAGTGGTAGGTTAGTTTCTTCTCTTCTTTGAGATGGTACTTTTTTCAAAAGTGCATCTTGCTAAATCAATAATCCTGTAGATTTAAGAGCTTTGTGCTTACTGCAGAGATTTAAAGTCCCTTAAAATCCATGGTAGCACAGCAGTGTGTGTCTGCTGGTAACTGCTGCCCGACTACGCTCTCAAACCTGTCCTTTCAAAGAATAGCTGGGGAGTATCTGGCAATGGGTTATGGCAGCCTCCCTTGTTTTCATCTTTATTGTTCACTTGTGATGCATGCTAAGAATTAAAAAAAAAAAAACAAAAAAAAAACCAACCAAAAATGGAAATGCTAGTTTAATGCATAGAAGTCCCCAGTTTAAATTTAACTTGGAATGCTATCATATGGAGGGAAATATGATGGCTTGTCTTTAAAACCTAATCTTTTAATCTGAGAGCACAAATACTAAAAGGTCTTAACCATTTTAACCTGATTAATGTGAACTCCTAGCTAACTGTGTTTGGATTTATGACATGTAGCTTTAACTATTGTAGTAGTTGATTTAGAGAGAATTATGTATCATCTCCAGCATGTTTTACTTTTGTCTCTCTATATATGTCTCTCTACAAATGTGTGTATTTCATGTCAGTCAGATTGAATTTTACAGCACTATCAGTTATCTCAAATTTTCTTTCAGTGAAAATAGTTTCTGATTTAACTTTTGGTTACCTGAGGTATCCTCTTTTACTGTTTAATTCTTGGAGTTGCAGTATATGAAAATACTAGTAAGGATTTATTAAAAACAGTTTTAGAATTGAGGGAGGACTCTATGCAGTGTTTGCATTTACTTCTTCCTCAAATAGATGTTTTCTTCAGTGGTCTTTTAGAATTAATTTTGGAAGGTGCTATGAGAAATGAATACACGCTCTGGTTGTAAAATGAGGTTCCCAGTGATTTTTAATATTTGGATGTGTGGTTCAGAAGTTGTTTGACTTTAAGCCATCACATGTTATGTAAGTAGTGCATAATTTCCAGAGGGCTTAATGGAAATGGCAGACCTGGGAAATCATTAACAACAGAGTACTGAATCCACGTGGATTCTTTAGCATACCTATATAATATACAATATAAAAAGACAGTTCTTTTTTAAATTAAAGTATGCATTTACACACAGCAGGTGTAAATATATACACCTCCATTTCTGCTTTGATTTGAATATCTCTGATGTTCAGTTATGTAGAACTAAATGCATATATCACATTTGTGTGTTGAAAGACTCTTTTAATATTATTTAGAATTTAATTTTTCCTTTACCCCTTCTTTCCTTCTCATCTCCTACCCCCCCCCCAACTCCATTTCTAGTGGAGAAGGTGAAAGAACAATTGAAACTCTCTTTGGAAAACAAGAGTGGCATGGTGCAAACAGGTGAACTGACAGTTGTGCTAGATGGTTTGGTGGTTGAACAAGAATCTCTTACAAATCTCAGTTCATCAGCAACCAGTAAGTTAAAATTATTAAGTCAGATGATAATATTTGGATTAAGATTTCAAACAGATATAATAGAATTATTTCTGTTGAATTTGTTTCTTGCTGTTCAGTAGAAGTTCAGCAAAATGGCGAGGCTGTACATGAAAGCAGAGATGCTTCAGCAAGAAGTTCATCCAGGTTGGAATTTTTTTTGTGTTTTATGCAATATGAAGTGTATTAGCAAATTTATCAGTTGAAATGTTTGGGTTGTTTGTGTTTTGGTGGGGGTTTTTTGGTGTTTCTTTTTTAATGGTTTTGAAGATGAGAGATTTCAGCTGCTGAGGTCTAAATTATGTTGCCACAGGTTTTAGAAACATTATTTGTTTGATAATTACATAATTTAGTTCAACTGACTGTAAATCTATAAAATGCTGCAGCAGAAATTAGGGGAGTGGTATCTCAGTGTATTTTTTTTGTCCTTACTCAATTTATTTTCTTTTGCTGCTTAAGAACCATTTCTATTAATGTCTACCAGCTTTTTGCAATGTAGCACCTGAACGGAAGGAAAAGGAAAAAAAAGCCTGAATTACTTCCCCCTCAGCCTTTTTAAGGTCATGATCAGGAACTTAAGAGACGTGTATTGAGTTTCACAAGCAGTATTTGTAACACTGAGGCCAAGGCCTGTTTCCTCCTGAAGTGGCAAGAAAGAAATTCAGACTAATTAAGAGCTTCATTCTTGGCTTCTCTGCCATTATAACCCGCTTAAGGACTGGCTGGAGAGAAGTAGGAATAGATTTTTTTGCCGCTCATCTCTAGTAAGACAAACAGGTCAATTCAGATCAATTTAATGTTACTGGGCTGCTCAGTTACCTTGTGTGAACCCATTTCTGTTTAAATTATTGACTGGAGTGAAAAAACATCCAGTTGCTATGCATTTGAGTAACTGGAACTTGTTTGTCCTTGTATGCTTGACTTGATTCTTTTTTTGTATTTATGGATGTTTGTCTCTCTACCCCAATGGGTGCTTAAGTTAAGGGAGTGAGAATAAAAAGCTGCTTCTGTTTTTTCTTTTTAGAAAGATTTGGGACTGCTAAAAGTGATTTGAAACCCATCTGCATACCACTTTGAAACAGTAGTAGCAATCATTTGTTTTCATTCAGCTATTATTGCTGGAGATAATATCTTGCTGGGATCCTGCTCTTGGTGTTGATATTTTAAATTACTGCTGTTTACCACACAACTATCCAGCAGTTTTGATGTACAGTTTTAAAATTAAGAAATGAAGAAAAATTTTAAAGTAGCTTCTCTGCATGTCTTTAGGAGGTAAATTGAGTTTTCAGTCTAGAGCTAAAAAGGGATAATACTTCAATTCTCTGTTTATACTTCTCCTTTGGAGCTGGGTAAGGTAGCATGGAAATGCTGCTTATTCCCTTCTTACTCCACATAGTTGGATTTCTAACTGTTCTTGCATTTTTTGTCATCTGTATAGTTTCAGTATTTAACCTCTACTCCTTGAGATGATAAGGAGTTGGCATTGAGTGTAATTTTTGAAGTATGTGTCTCTGGTGGATGGCTTTGAGCATTCTGAAAGAGATTTAAGTAAAAAAACAGTGTACTGCTGTAACTGAACAAAACTTTCCATTCACAAGCCCTTAAAGTACATTTATTTCCATGTGGCCTTGCAAACACAGAGCTGCCTATGTGTGTTTGTCCTCACAATGCCTCATCCTGCCAATGCATTGAGGTACTCATCTTATTTTCCTTTTACTGAGGGAGAATTTGTTGCTGTCTTATGAGTATTTTTAGTGATATGACTAATAAAACCAGTTCTTCCTCTTGCTTAATGAGAGAAAAAGCTTTCCTGCTCATAGCTGCACTTTGGAAGGGTCTCTAAGGCCCTTTTGGAAGATGCAGCAGGTGCATCAGTCTGTTCAATTCAATTCTAATATGTCATTAAAAGTAAAAGAGAAAGTGAAAATGGAAACTCTTACCTGTTTTAAGTATCTGAAATCCTCAGAAGTGATTCTTGCCTTTTTCTTTACAGTCAAGTGCGAGACCAAAACAATTATCTAGGCTGCAAACACCAAAATATAATGCTATAAACAGTTGTGAATTTACCAATGTTTCTTTGTTTCTATAGCATAGTTTGGTGTAGCATTTAGTTGCATAACTGTTTAACATGTTGCTTGTAGTAATCTAAAATCATCTTTTATTTTTACCAAGATCTGCTTGTGACATTTCTAATGGGATAGACAATCAAGTACCTTCCAGCTCTGTAGTAGAGAACACAATCTGTGTAGAAGCTGTTAATGGAGACAGCACACCATCTCCTAATCATGTTGCAGCCAGACCCAAAAATACACCAGTACCAAAACCACTCGAGGCTCAGCCTGTCAACAGCCCTGGTAAGAATGGGAGAACATGTTCCATGAGGCTTTTTTATCTAGTTGTATCTCAATTTGAGCTACTTTTTCTATAAAATTTTTGTTGGAATTCAAAAGTACTGGAAGGATGTGGCTTGAATTTATAACCTTGTGTGTCCACTTCTGTAAATTTTTTTACAGTAGACTCATCCTTAAGTATACTGAGTTTCACATTTTATCATAAGTTCTTTTCTCTGATGAAGATTAAAGTGTCCAATATCTTCTGTTTTTCTGTCCCAGATGATGAAACCATATTACTGTTTGTCTGGAGGAAAAATCAGATTTCTTTCACAATTAATTTAAGTAACTATGGTTAAACTTTTCCTGATATTACATAAATCTGATTTAAGCAGGGAACTGATGTGCTGCTCTGAGATGTGTTGCAGACTTCTCGTGCATTCAATTTTTTTCAAAAATGCCATTTAAAAACAGGTAGTGGCAAATATCGAATTTAATTTTCCTCTTAAACACAAAAACATTGATTCTGACTTCAGTTCACTTTTGATTCAGTAAAACTAGTGAAAAAGAAAAGTTTTTTGATTTTTGTTCCTCTGGCATCGAATAATGACTGCTTTCTAAGCCCTTTGTCTTTTCTCAGCTGTTTGAGAGAGATTACAGTGATAACAGAGAGAAAAGACAACTGTAAATAGAAATAGGCAAGTTGTTACTAAATGGGAGAACAGAGATTGTCAAACTCTGTAATACAGTGAAAAATGTTGGTATGGTTGGAAGATAACAGAAACAATTATGAACTTTAAAAATTAATAATTAAATTAGGTCTTCTCTGAAGCTTTTCTCTATTTGGAGGACTTTAATTTGATTCCCCTCTCTTTTCAGCTCAAGGCTAGAGGGCATATATACTATTAAGGCATTGCTCCCTTTTTCTTCAACAGCAGAGAGAGCCATTTGAAATCTGTATTAGGATAGGGTAATTGAAAAATAATTGATTTGTTCAAGTGGTGATATTGATGAAATCATCTCTGAGCTTTCACTGAAGCATTGATGTAGGAGTAATCAACTACTGTATCAGTGGGTGAAGATGTTTTTAAGGCAAGGCATAAAACAGATCTCTGGCATTTTTTGATGACACTTTTTTTCCCCACTGTTGTGCTTTAGCAGGATTGTAATTTTATGTGATGTTGCCAAAATTTCTGTTGTAGGCATAATTGGTTAGTAATCGTCTGATGTAATGTTTTATACCTCTGTTTTGGAGATGAACTTACAAATAGAGCAGATGATTTTTTTTATTATTTTGCTTCTGACTATGTAATCCTAGTCACTCTTTCATGTGGATGAGTTGAAGTTTTTAAGTGGAAGTTGAAATTTCAGTTGGTTTTTTTCTTGTGTAGGTTAAGTTGTTGCTAGTTTAAGCAGAAATTTGAAGATTAAGATGAAACTTGATCAGATTGTTCATAGTTTTCATGTCATGCTGAAACAATATAAAATCTTGATATGTCTTAATGTAGTTAATTTCTTTTGTGCCATCTGGAAGCAGTGTTGTGTTACCCTGGAAAAGTTTTGTTCAAAAAGTAGTGGCTCTGTAGAACTTAAAAATCTGTTGCCTGTAAAGTCATGCTTATTCATTATGCACATCAAGAAAATTCATATGGTGCAGTGATAATTCCTTAAAGAAACTGACTTTCCAATTTAAATTCTGATGACAGAATTAAACAAGTGAACCCTTTAAAATAATGAAACAACATTTTAGAGGTGCTAGTGTAGGATTTAATTTTGCAAATGTATATCAAAAAGGTTAAGAGTATAGAATTATATTAGTTTCAGTCCTTAGTATGGTAAGGTGATAATATACTGTAAAGTAAGAAAATTGCTTGAAGCATGTGTTCCATGTCCTTAGTCCTGTAGAAAACTGTTGCAACTATAAACAGGTATAAACTACTAAGTATAAATAGAATTGTCACTGTATAATGTTGATTAATGGTGCAGAAAATGAAGGTGCTGAATGATCTTGCACTGCTTTTTATAGGGCCTTGACTTTTAATGAGTGTCCTACAGACTGCTGTACCTGATGCCACTTGTCTAAGTTAGACAAGATCTTGATGTGCTGAGAGACTGTTCTGTTAAGCTCTGTAGATGATTGGTGTGTTGTTGGCCAAGTGGGCTTGGGACTAATAAAGCCTTTTTAGCACCCTTTGCTGGCTAAATCTGTGCCTACTTTAAACCTTTTAAGAGATTGTGCTTGCTTCAGTTTGATGGCATTTTTGTTGTTCTTCAAAAGATAGAATTGATTTGCTTTGTGATTCTAAAGTAATTTTCTTCAGTCATTGAACTACATAAGTTGTATTAGCCAATAATAGCTTTTGTATTTTAACCTGTCTTTTGGAGGGGGACTTTTTTTTCCAAGTCACACACAGGTGTAGGGTTAATTGTAGGGCTCTGTACCTCAGCTCTGAAAATGGAAGGAAATTATCTGTAGGAAATGCCTCTTAGTTTTCCAAATCTCATAGAGTAATTTCTTAATATTTTTTTCATGTCATACTGATCAAGATTCTTTTTTGAACTTCAATGAACAATGTAAGTTCAGAGTTTTAAAAAAGGCTATACAGTTTTGTGGAAAGCAGATGGGTGCCTCTTGCTAATCTAGACTAAGGTGTAACATTGAGTTGACCAAAACACACAGAAACTAAGAAATAACTTTATATATACATATATATATATATATGTCCCTGTGTAACAGGGGAGTATAGAAAATGGCTTGCAAGCTGTCAGTTTTAACTGAAGGCAAGTGTGTTGTGACTTTCTGTCATCTTTGACAACAGTGCTGCTTACGTCATACAGTTGCAACTTAAATATATTCCTTTCAAGTCATTTACTCCAGAAGTTGGTTATTTGAAAAGTCAATCTCATCAGATTCTTATACACAAATGTTATTTCCCATTTCTCAGTTAATGGTGAGTCATCTGCCTCTGCACCTGAAGCTGGTAATTCCTCCGTCTCCGAGGCTCCGACGGGTTCAGTCGAAGCTCCTGTGTCTTCAGCAGATTGCACTAATGATACAGCAGAACCTCAGTCAGCAACAGAAGCAACTAGTGGTTCTGAAAGCCACACCTCTGCATTACCTGTTGTGTCTGCTGGACTAGAACCTGCAGCTGCAACAGACTGTGCTCAGCCTAGTGCTCGAAACAGCATAGCAGCAGATGCAGCAAAGCCAAGGGAATCCTCCTCCACGCCAAGTGCATCTGCAGAACCTGTAAGACAGCAGCCTGCTACTGCCAGTACAGAACCTTTGCCACCAGGGTATGTTGTTTTACTTTTAATGTGATCATTTTGTGTCATCTAAATGTGCATATAAAGAAACAGAAACTTAATTCTGTACAGGGATTGTCAAATGCAGGTCAGCTGGCTGAGACGGGGTTATTTGATCTAAAATGGGATTTGTACTGCTGCTGTAAGTGGCTGCTCTTGTCCCAGAAAGTAACAACTGATAACTGATTTGCTGAGAAAGTATTGTGATCTTAACAGACACCAGATCTTGGATGTTATGGATGTGAAGACTTTTCATTTGATATTTTCAAACTTATTTGGGCTGTAATTCATGATCCCTTTGTTTCTTAGTAGCAGGGACAAAAGCACAAAAGTGAAAATGACTGGTCTATAAATGCTTGTAGGTGTGTAAGAATGAGTTCAATAATCTAATTGTTAAAAATAAGATTTGATATGTATATAGGTATGGGCTAAGAAGAGCTAGAATATTTTAATTTTACTAGATTGTTAGAAATTGCTTTAGTAGTCTTAAACACAAAATCAAAAATGTACTTAAACATTAAATGAAAGTGCAGTACATGCTCAAATATATACAGATAGATCTTAACATTTTTAATATATGCTTTCATGTTGGGGTGAAAAGATACCTTCAGTTCAAATTAGAAATACTGACTTTTCCATAATATTGTAAATATTAACTATTTTAGCATTTTCTGATCACAAAAACTGTTTCTTAACCCAAAGCGTGTCATTGTAGCTGATCTTGCAGAGAGTCTGTCTTATACCTGCTCCCTGTGGAGAAGGTTCAGTAAGTTATTAGTGGCACTTCACTTGAGTTTCTGCAGTTAGAAACAAATGAAAACAAATATTTTAAAGATAGAAGCATTGTGTATAAATTTTGGAAGAATTAGTTTTTAATTTTCAGATGCTCTGTCCTTATTAGGTGGGAATTCTTTCCACACATTCTTTTTTCAATTAATTACATGCTTTCCCACTGAGGAGAGGGTCATGAGTTCCAGGCACAGTGCACACTATGGACAACTGTATTTCTTCATCATTCCCTGATCATGTTCCTGTGGGCTTTTTATTTGGTGGTTCCCCACACCCCCCTCCTTCCTCTCCTCTCCACCCTCTTATCACCCCTGCCAAATTGATCTCCATTATGAATAGCCCTAGGAACTCTGTAAAATGCTGCTGTTCCTCTCCTCCCTACTCTTATTGAAATCTTAACATATAACTTCTTGAATGGCAGAAAAGATTTTGTAATTTTATACAGTGCTCTGCAATAGTGAGGAAATGCACATCCAATCCTATGAGTAGCAGGCCAGTTGTTCTGCCTCCATCTTTAGGAGCTAATTAAGTGTTCATGTAAGAAAAATAAATATATATCAGCTGCAGACAAACACTTCAGCTTTTCACCTAATGTTTATCCTAGTTTCCTCACCATTTATACGTACTTCTATTGCATTATGGTAGTTCTCAGCATCATGAATTTTCAACTGTTGATAATGTTTGGCCCTAGCTCCATCTCCAATGTAAGATTGTTTTGCAAAATGAAGTAATCCCCAGGGATATCAAATACAGAATTTACCAGGATAGGAAATAGAAACACAGGAAAAACAGCTGATAGCATACACTTGTTTCAATCTGAAAGATGCTGTTTGTTGGATATAGGGAGCAGAGCTTCAAAATGTAAATGCTCTCATTTTTTGAGAGACATGAACTTGGAAATGTGAAGAATGCATCTCTAAGCACTTTCGGAATGAGGTTATTTTAGCATCCAGGCATTGAGCGGATAATTAATTGACTTTGTTCCCAACTTAAATATAAAAGGAAAATGCTTGTGAATATTGATGTATGCTCATTATGTGCTAAAGCCTTTAAAGAAGTCTTTATGATGATATCAGATTAATAGGAAGTAACTGATCTGTTTTCTGGTGTGAATTTTCTTTGATGTTCGAGAATGGGTTTTGGACCATGGTATTTTCATTCAATGCCAAGGTACTTTTTTGTCTTAGTGGGAAGTCTCAAGGAAGTATTTGCACCTTTACTTACATGCAAGTCTCTTTGTCTTGAAGGTGGGAGCAAAGAAAGGATCCTCATGGTAGAACCTATTATGTTGATCACAACACACGAACTACAACATGGGAAAGACCACAGCCCTTACCTCCTGGGTAATGTAGACTTTTTGAATTAAATATGTTAAACTTACTATATTTTTTTTTTTTGTTTGTTGCTGGAAACAAACAGCAGCACATCAAAACTATTCTGTATCATATATTAAGAAATTCTAGCTTTAATTATATTAATTGCAGATATTATTACAGGAATGTTGATACTGGCTCTGTCACTAGTTTTGATCACTTGTTCAAATACAGCTACTAAAGTATTTTGTTCTTCCTTGAAAACTTAAGCATGAAATAATGAATATTTGATCACCTTCATTTAGGTGGCACCACTAAGTGTAGTGCACTGTTTCCAAACCTCAGATTTCCCAGCAAAGTGTTCTCTGTGGAATCTGCCAACATTACTTGCAGTCACAGGTGTTTACAAAGTTAAAAATGAGGTGTTAGACAGCTGAGCAGGCAGTTGCTTTAAGTCTGTGTATGCTCATTGTTGTTGCTCATCTACCAATTAAGTTGGGGTGCTTTTGTGTCCTTTAGAAATTGAAATCATTCCTGTGACTCCAGTAGTTCATTCAAGTACCACCTAGGAATTTAGTATAAAGAGAAAATCGGTTAGTAACACTACTGAAAGAATTAACTGTTAGCATTTGTATTTATTGACAGCTGGGAAAGAAGAGTTGATGATCGTGGGAGAGTTTACTATGTGGACCACAACACCAGAACAACAACGTGGCAGCGGCCAACGATGGAGTCAGTGAGGAACTTTGAGCAATGGCAATCTCAACGGAATCAACTGCAGGGAGCTATGCAACAATTCAACCAACGATACCTCTATTCGGTAAAGTATACAAAATCTGAAATTACTACAGAGCTATAGTATATTTTTGTTCTTTAAAGAAAGGGATTTTGTAACTATTCAACCATATATATTAAAAGACGTTTAGCATCAGTAATTTAGATTCTGATTATTTTGAAAAAAGTTGAAAATCATCCTTGAAGGCACGAAGTACTCCCTTCTGAGTTTGTTCCCTGACAGCAGCTTTGTATGCTTCATTTTACATAAGGCTTTTAATGGCAGTAGTGAGAGGTACAACTAAAACTGTCCCTTAAACTGAAAAAGAATATAAATGCTGTTCGGGGTTATTTTGAGCATTAAATAATAGCCTTCAAAACTGTTTAGTTTTTGTATTAGTGAAGTCCTTCACTAATATAAGTGGCAGTTCTTTTGCTTTGAAGGTTATACGTCTGATTCAGCTCTGGAATTTCCAACAGGATTTTCCATTTCTCTTACATACTCGCTTACTTCTGCCAGAAGAAAATATGAATAGCTTCAAAGAGAATATTTGAGTCAGATTTTTGCATCTGTGACTGGATAAATAGGATAGTTGTTTCTTCAGAGTTAAGAATAATGGTGCCTGTATGTTACTATCACTCTAAATAGTGCACTTTAAGAATTGTGCTTGGCTTCGTAAAAAAATTATCTGATCCCAGAAACTTTGTAAGTGATATGCAGCAAAACTGGAGTGTTTTAAAGATGAAACCATTGAAGTACAAGTCTAAAACAGCTTTGTTGTAATAGGACTCTCTGCATGTGCAGACCGAAGTTTGAATTTAACAGACTTTATTCACACACCTCACTGAAAGGATGTTGCATTACATTTAAAAATTCTCAAATTATTGAATTAGACATTATATCTTGTCACTAGCAATAGCAGAAACGTACCTCACCACTAATTTTCTGAACTCCCCGAGCTGTGCATCAAATGCAATTTGTTTTATGCAATTAGAGAAAAGTTGAATGGTCAAGGCTAGAAGGGACCTCTTAAGGTTATTTGGTTCAATGTCCCTCATCAGGAAAGGCCACCTGGAGTCAGCCATCCAGGACTGATGTATTGTAAATATCTCCAAGGATGGAGACTCCACAACCCCTCTGGGAAACCTATGCCAGTGCTTGGTCACCCTCCCAGTAAAAAGTGTTTCCTGATGTTTAAGGGAATCCCCTGTGTTTCAGCGTGAGCCATTACCTCTGGTCTTGCCACTGTGAATCATTGAGAAAAGCCTGGCTCCATCCTTTTTGCACCCTCCTTCAGGTATTTAAACACACTGGTAATTTTCTAATGCAAATCCAAGAATCACAGCTGAAGCACATCAACCCAAAAAGTCTTGCTTGACCAACTTTGTGTACTTGTGTACTACTTTGATCAGTTGCTTAAAACATCTGAGAAAACTCACTTTTCCAATACCAACTTTTTTTTTTGGCTAGATTTATCCTTTGGTGAACAATATATTTTTAAAATTAAATTATGTTACTTCCTTCATTAAAGGGTAGCCCTTACTGAAAATCATAGACCCGTTCTTTAAAATGTCTTAGAATCAAGAAATGAGTGAGACAGAATAAACCTGAAGGAAGAGAAAACTTGACTGTTTGCATCTCTTTAGAATTCTGTTTTCTAAGTATTATATCTGTTGCACAGGTAGAACTCACAGTTTATTGAGAGGGAAATTTGAAATTATTTTGTAGAAAGACTGTTGGCTTGTTCTTTTTTACTTTAGTGTGCTTCTGTATACTTTTCTTCTAGAATAGTTTAGGTCAAATTATAGCTACCTTTTCATGCTCTGGTGACAGACCAGGACTCTGCCTACATAGCAGTTTGAGTGAGATTGTATTTTATTTTTTGAGAAAAAGTAGATGACAGCTTTCAGTTAGAGAATGTTTCAATTGCCTTGAGTGGGAAGAGCTGAACTCTGTAAAGAAAGAAAAGTAGATGGGATATAGTCATTTGAATTGCTTTCATTTTTACTTGGATTAATGTATCATAGTCATTTTAGAAGTGAATCTGCCTGGTTTTTCAGTGTGTTCTGTTAAATATACAGCTCTGTGTGGCCAGCAGCTACACACAAACCCTCCAACCCATTAAGAAGGTTGGAAATATCTGAACTGTGCCACCATTCAGTTCGTTGGCAGACAGCTTTTTGCTTTTGTGCACTATTCTTTTGCAGTCACCACAGAGAAGTCTTTGGTTAGAGGGTTATTGTGATTGTGTGGTCTCCTAAAGCAGACTAACTGCATTTGCTGCTGAAATAATGATAATTCTCTGTTCATATGTAGTAGCTGGTGGCTGGAACAACTACACAGCCCGATTTTGAGTGTAACTAATGCATTTCCTTCTGATCCTTGATCTGTTCTCCTTCAGAGAAAAAGTATCATAAATTTGTTTTGCCTGAATTTACTCCTGTAAACTCTTATTTGATATTTTTGTATTGAAAATGCTATATGAAGCAGTATTAGTTTTGAAGATACTCTTTGGAAAACATAATTTGGTTCCCCTGTATCAAAATTCCATTCTGCACCCACACACACTAAAAGTTAGTGTCCACAAAATGTTAGGAGTGAATGCTTTTTATTATAAAGCAGAGCATGGATCCTATAGTCTGTGGGGTTTCTGCCTTTTATTTTTATTTTTCGCATGCTTTGTATTTTTGGGAGCTACTTGGAGACTTCTGCAAGGTTATGGTATATTATGAGTTTAGCATGTGTTTACACAATAATGTAATCCTTTTTTTTTCCCCTTTTAGCCTTACTGTATGCTGGTATAATTTTACCCATCCGCATATGAATGCAGCTGCATTAAAAAAAAAAACCAAAAAACAATGTTTGAAAATAGCCAAACATCCAGGGAAGTTATCATGTATTGAGGAAGTAAAACCCCCTATGTTGGCAGTAGTCACTGTGCTTGGAAATGTTTATTATGGTAAAACGTGCTCTTAAGCAAAAACTTAGTGCTTATCTGCTGATACAGGCTTCCTCAAAACTTGTATGAACTGCACCTCTTTGTACAGGCACTCAAGTTTGCTGTGGGAAGGGAAAGGGAGGGTACATTGTGTTGGAAACAAGTGTGCAAAGCATATCTTACTTTCATATAGTCTAAGTTTCTTTGCAAAACCAGATTAAAAATGGCCTGATGTTTTTTTTTTCCCAAATGAATCATCTTCAGGACTAGTTAAAGTCTTAGAAAACACTGAGAAAATAATATGAATAACTGAAAGTCCTCTTGATTTTAAATAGGCTTCGATGTTGTCAGCAGAAAATGATCCACTTGGGCCTTTACCACCAGGCTGGGGTAAGTTAATTAGCTGTGGATTTCAGGAAGTGGCAGCTACAGAAATTGAGAATGCAGTTGTATAGTGGATTTTTTTCTTTTTTTCTCTTCTTTTTAGAAAGAAGAGTGGATTCAAATGATAGGGTGTATTTTGTAAATCATAACACAAAGACAACACAGTGGGAAGATCCTCGAACTCAAGGGTAGGTGTGTATAATGACTGTGTAGATTCAAAAGATCTTGCTTAATTCTTTTATATCGTGATATGGGGGAAAAAGCACTGCCTGCAATTTCTTTTGCAGTTTACAAAATGAGGACCCTCTTCCAGAGGGCTGGGAAATCAGATATACCAGAGAAGGTGTCAGATACTTTGTTGATCATAATACAAGAACCACCACCTTCAATGATCCTCGTACTGGGAAATCTTCTGTGTAAGTGAGAAATCAAATATATTTTTGAATGTTTTACCTTGTTATAGTTTGATAGTGAAATTTTCTCATGCTATAAAATGATCTACTCTTTTAGCTGGAATTGAACACTAAATTCTGAACATGTTTTTATATTAATATATTTTAAATTTTTATTTGTGACTTTATCTATGACACATTTTGCTGTACTGCTCTGATGTCCAATAGTTTTTATATGCTTTGGAAATACCAAGATTGTAATAATTTTATAAATAGAGAGGGGCAATGAGGCTAACTAGAGTACTGAACTAATGTAACTAATAGTTGCATTTTTAAATTAACAGCAAATGGCCATTGGAGTATTGCTTATACACACTGTAGCAACAGTAATATCTAAACAAAATAGTTCTAAATACTTCTGAAAAAGTATGCAAATCTTCTTTTAAATATTTTGATTAAAAGTATTGACTCAACCTAGAGTGGCTTTCTTAATGTCTTTTATATGGGGTAGGGTTTACTTCTGACAACATATGAATGACTTATGATTCAGTGAGCCTGTAGAATGTTGCACTAGAAAGTCCTTCACAGTTCCAGAAGTAACTGAATTTATAAAGCCTAACTTAGCAGTCTTTCTCTGAATGGAGATGATAAATTAGATGTCTCTCATTTATGTGACTTGTAGTTTTTACAGATTTCATAGAGATTTCATATCCCCTTGATCTTTTATCTTTTTATCAAATTTGTTAAATTGACTTCCAAAAAAAGAATGGGTGAGGGGTAGTAGAAGGGAACACTGGCATTCCAAACCACCAGCTACTTTAGATCATATCTTACAATAACAATTTTTTGTGTATTTTTGAAATCTTCATGCTGTTGTTTAGCATTGAAACTAATATTTGATGTCTGCATGCTTAATATATCTCCAATATGTTTTCTTACAGAAATAAAGGGCCACAGATTGCTTATGAGCGTAGCTTTAGGTGGAAACTTGCTCATTTCCGTTACTTGTGTCAGGTACCGATTTAGTATTTTTTTATTCATTTATTTATTTAAACTATATGAGTTTTTACATGTGTATGTGCTGCCTTTTAATGTTATTGCCTTATAATTACAGTCCAATGCACTGCCAAGTCATGTGAAAATCAATGTATCCAGACAGACTTTGTTTGAGGATTCCTTCCAGCAAGTAAGCCTACAAAAATTATTGTATTTGTTTATCAAGTCAGCAGAAGAACAAAAATGGCCACAGCTAATTCAGACTAATGGTCCTTCAGGCACAGTAATCTTCCCCTGGTATTAGCTAGTGGGGGTTTCTTAGGGAAGACTGTAAGAAAAGAAGTATTGTATATAATACTTTACCATATGATCTTTCATTTTTAGCTGTTTGCAATTGAAATGCTTCTTGAGCTTGAAGTGGTTTCTGAGTATTTTAATAATCCTCAAGGGATTTATCTTCTGTGAGCTTGTCTGTGCTCCTCTTGTGAACTTTTGGCATCTACAGCTTCTTGTGGTAGAGTTCCATAGCTTAACCTACTGTGGCATTCAGCCCCATTGTATTTGCTTTTCTGATTGCTATGTGTTTAGATACCTTACAATATGTTGTTTTCTCCAGTTAAAGTTGGTTCCTGCTTTGTCCTTCAGAGATTGAATCTGTGTAATTGAAGCTTACAGTCCTTGAGCTCTTACAGTCTGCTGCCAATGTATGATGAAAATTCTTGCTCTTGTCAACACAAGACTTCTTGGCAGGGATTCTCTATAAGTAAAAAGTATGAATTTAGTCTGGATTAAATTATTTCTTTAAGTGATTTCCCTAAAATCAAAAATCATATATCAGGTGAAGTGCCTTTTCACCTATTTTCCTTAAATAATGACTGCCTTAGGAAGAATGTAAGAACAGGATACTCGTACAGCAATACTTCCCAGATATTCCTTCCACTTGCTAGCAGTCTGCTGCTCAAGGACTTTAAGTCCAAGTTTGTATTTTTGTGTGTAGTTCATTGATTGCTTGTTCCATGTGGTGGTCTACTTGCTTTTCAAATTTGTGTAACATTTGACATATATACAATTTCTATGTCAACATAAATTAAATTTCAATGAGTGATGTGGCGACAATCCATAATTTATAACTTATTAATTTATTTTTAATAGATTATGGCATTAAAACCCTATGATTTGAGGAGAAGATTATATGTTATATTTAGAGGAGAAGAAGGATTGGATTATGGTGGCTTGGCAAGGTAAAAGAAATTTTCTTAAACAGTTTTTCTTTTTTTAACAGCACTTTAGCCTTGAGTTCTCTTGCAGTTTGACCCTAGGTACCTTTTTAGTCTCCTTAAATGTATTGAGGAGGTGGAACTGGCAGTACTGGCTATTGCTACAGGTTATAACTTCACATTGGTAAAACTATGGTCTCAGTTGCTCAGTTCTTTGACAAAGAGCGATGTTTAAATTGGAATGAAATGAATTGCTCTGGACTGAGTTATTTTAGAAACTTTCTATCAGAAAGTTCAATTTTCCTACAAGTGGGGACTGGGAAAATAAAGTGTTCTGCTTATTTGGAAAAATGGCAAGTGAACACCAGATTGGAGCTGATAAGAACAGAAAGAAAATAAAAGGAGAGTAGGGCAGGCATGAAGGAACAACAGACAATGCTGGCTCCACTGGAATGTGAAACAGCTGGACTACGGGTTTTTCTCGAATCTGAAGTGGAACTCAGAGGGGAAAAATCTGATAACAGGAAAACCATAGACAAGGTTTCATTTCTTGACCACAGAGAATACAACCACTGACTACTGCTGCCGGTTACTTGAATGAAATGTTATTGCTAGGAAAAAAATTTCAGTAGTACTGTATGTCCAAGGAATTAGAAGAGGTCATCAGTGATAGAATTTTTCTTATTAGGTTGTTTTGTGGGTTTTTTTCTTGTTTTTAATGTAAAGGTGTTCTGGTTTGGATTTGTTCTGGTTTTATGTAGCTTCCTGTGTTAAAAATGAATTCAGTGAAAATGTGTAGTATTTGTAAGTAAGGAAGTTTGCCTCTGAAGGTTGAGCTTCTTTGGTATGTGGTGTTTTGCTTCTGATTACAGTATCACATAGACTTATGGGGAGTGATTGCAGGGAGGAATTCAATTTGTGCTTTGCATGGGTTTTGTTTGGTTGGTGTCCCTATTGTGAATGCCATAGGTTGAGGATGGGAACCGGAACAGTTCATAGATCTTTCCATAGAAAAGACGTTAGAATAATTTAACTGAAGTGTGTTAATAAAAAAAAAGTAGGAGGATAAATAAAGAAAAAACTTAATACATAAGTAGTATAGTTTCATAGTTAAGTCTTGCCCAAGATTTCGTATGTGAAACTGAGAACCAGCCAGGATCTCATTTAACTTGAGCTGAAAATTCTTAAGTGACACTAATGAAATACTGTATTAATACAAATATAGATCAGCTGTCTCTCAGCAGAATAAATTCAGTGTTCCCATCAGATTTCTACCTTGCATGTAGCAGGACCAATCTGACATTATATCCTGTGGCAAGTTTTAGCTGTTGATCTGAAAAATTCATTGTTTCTGCAACTTCTTGTTAATGAGTGATTTGGTTTATTCCTCCCTTGTTATCTGACTTGTTCTAATTTAAATGCCTATTAAATTTGATGCAGTTAATGTAATTGTCTCAGTATGAAACTTGCCTAGAATGCTGTACAACATTCTTGTGCTTACTGGAAGATACACGGAACCCTGTCAGGGTTATTGGATCCTGGCTGCCTTTCTCTGTTTACTCTTTCTACTTGGCCTTTGGGTTGGAAGTGTATCATAGTGAATCATGATCCATGACTTGAGTTTCATGGCACTGTTAGGAGAAACATGCCAGAAAACCTCATTTCTATTCTGTGATCTTGAGTAAATACAGGGATAGAAGAGAGGCCTCTTAACTGTGACAGCTGAAAGGCAGTCAGAATGGAATTCAGTCCCTACAGTTATTATAGGACAGACTTTCAGCTGCTTTTATGGGTTATCCCTAGGCCTGGTTGTTCAGTACCAAACATTTAGTGCCTGATAAAAAAGCTCCTGAGTGTGTATGTCTGTTCTGAGGTCTCTGCAAATACTATATGCAGATACTATAAAGCAATAAATATTATAAAAGTCACGTATCTGAACACTGAAATACCAGATTCCACTATTATATTCAGATCAGCTGAGCTGAAAAAAAATAAAGTGGTAAAAAAATATATTCATTTAACCTCAGCAAAAAGATACTTTTACACTGTCATATTGCATAGGCTTAACCAATGCATGGTAATTTGTTAAACTACAGTAACTCAGTGAGTGTTTTGCTGTCAGACTGGAAAAGCAAATAAGGTGTGCTGAGGTTTCAATTTGTTTGTTTTGTTTTATTTAAGTCGTTTATAATAAGCATGGAATAATCTGTGATTTTTTTGAGTAAAGATGTGAGTTGTAGACAGTAAAGTAGGCATGAGGAGGGTAAATGCTGTACAGTGGTTGAGGGAAGGACTGTGTAAGAAAAAATGTTACTGATAGGCAGCTAAAACCTGTACTATGAGGGTGTGTTCAAGATGAAAATATTAATTGTAATTTCTAAACTTTGGAAACCATGATTTTCTAACATTATTGCGTCTGATAATTAACTTTCTGTATTTACAAAATATAATACCATATATTATTCTGTGATTCTAATACAACACTGTTTATATTATTTTTCAAAGTTTGCATATATTTTGACCATTTTGCTAGTTACCTAAGGGGAATGGTGATAAACATCTGTATTTGATGGTTTTTATGTGTATACATGTTTTTTTTCCTTAGAGAATGGTTTTTCTTGCTTTCCCATGAAGTACTGAACCCTATGTACTGCCTATTTGAATATGCTGGCAAGAGCAACTATTGCCTGCAGATAAATCCAGCATCAACAATCAATCCTGACCATCTTTCATATTTCTGTTTCATTGGGCGCTTTATTGCCATGGTAGGTTAGATTTTTAAGGTTTTATATTTGCTGTAGCTATACATTTACTCCTGAACAGTATTTGTTTGTACAGTTATTAAAGATTATATTAATCTCATAGAAATGGAGGATTAAGGCATATAAGTTTATTCAGCCAATTCCCTGAGAGTTAAGTCTCTTGCAGACTCATGTTTCCTGGGAGAGTGATCAAAATGAATATGATGTTTGATAAAATATTTTATTTTCATCAATTGGGTGTGTGTACTTCATGCAAACTGCTGTCTGAGTGTCTGAATACTGATGCTCTGAAAAATGTGACTAATATTTTGTGAAAAAGGCTCCTCATTTGGACTTGTTATACCTTAGTATATTTGAAAAAAAATGAGTTAGAATGTTTTGTAGAATACACTGGGCCTTAATTTAAATGTATATGCTTGGATATAAGAGTCAGAAAAGGAGGAGACCAGAAGCTATCAGGAAGCTGATTCTCTACCATCCTATTTCTCTTAAACTACAAGCTGATCAGGCATGCTGCATCATTTCTTCAGCATCACTGAGTTGGTCTTCTATAGTGACTCCTGTTCTGTCACATTTGTTTCCTTCCATGTAGTGATACAGTCATCTTTCCACATAATCATCATGTCTACAGGTAGTCCTCAGCAACTTCCCTCAACTTGGTGAATAGTGAAACCAAAAAGAGATACAAGTGCATTTTCATACTGAATAGATTATTGCCTTGTGTTCAAGGCTTTTTGTGCAAAATTGGAATAAATACAAGCCAAGTGTAACATAAATGAAAAAATACTTTCAGCTTAAAATAAATTAGGTTTGGGTGGCTTCTTAGTACTTCTTTTCTTATAGATGCTTCTTAAGAAATGTATTCAGTTATGACAATAACATCGCTGATTTCAATTCATAATTTTTGTGCTGTCATGAAAATTTTCCTCATTGGGTTAACACTTTAATTAGGCTGACATATTTTTTCTTTATTTTAGAGTCCTCAGCAAGTTACAGGGCCACTTAGCAGGACGGCATGATAAAGCCAGTTAGGTGCTAGAGTCAGTGTTTCTTTCAACTGTTGACTTTTGATCACGTGTGTAAGAAATGTTAACTTTAGGAAAGCTATTTCATAACAGTACAGATCATAGTAGAGAGCTTAATTGAAGTAATTAATGTAATTAAAAGACAAATTGTTTTATTTCCTAAAGTATTTATGTGTTTATCTTTTAAATTCTCTAAGTGGGGGAAGAGAGAGACCTGTGTAATGCTGCCTGATGAGGTCTGTTGCAAGGTTTCAGTATATTCATGGTTTATACTGGATGGAACTTTCTGCAGTGCTTCCTGGGATACCCTCTAGTGGCTTAAGATAGCTCAGGTAATAATGCAACTGGGAAATGAAATTGCAGTTTCTGTTCTTCCCACAGTTCTAAAATAGTGAGATTTTTAGTTTTTAGATTTAGATTTTTAGCCACAGTTGTTTTCAACTGAAACAAGATTAAACATAAAGAATACACATCTTACTTTGTAATAAAAATCTGTTAAATTAAGTTGTCTGAGGCAACTTTTATATTTTGCTGTACAATTATCATATATATCAAATAGGGTGATTTTAAGAGCTTAATTTTGCAAAAGCAGAAAATCATATGCCCAGATACTGCACTTGACATAGAATTTCTATCAGGTCCCCCTCCCATGAGAAGAATAGAATAATGTAAAAGTAAATTAATGTATAAATAGACAAATAAATAAATAAAGGCCTTTAAGAGAACCTCTTTAATGTCTCCTTAAGCAGAAGAAAATGCATGCTAGACTAAGCCTAAAAGGGGGAAATTAGGTGGGGAAAAAAGATGGAGCCTAGAGGAAATGGACTGTTAATTGGCTCTTCTGCTCACAGAATTTCAGCTGAGAGGAAAGAGAAGCTATGAATGCAAACATGGCCTGTGTTTAGGATGTTTTTTTTTTTTTTTAAACAGATGTTATCGTGAAGAAAGTGTACTTGATAAAGCTGAGAGGGAGAAAGGGTTTTCGTGGTTATGGTTGTGCTCCATGAGCTCTCAGATGCACTGAATCAGTGTAGGGGTTAGCACTCTGTGTGTGTGTGTGTGTGTGTGTGTGTGTGTAATGCTATGCTTCAGTGCTAGAAATCAGCTTACACCCTATGTGTATGTGTAGTGAGACAAGTATGACCATGTTTTGGGGTTTTTTCTGTCTTTAGTTTCATGGAGAGCTCAATTCCTCACTTCTGTTGCTCACTTGTAAAAAATATGGATCCCAAAGTTCTTTCTTACAAGCTGCAGTACCATTTTGTAAAGGATGATGTTGCTGGATGTATGTATGTAGTAAAAAATGGCAGTAATACTCAAGTAGGATCAAATATTCTGATCAAGTAGGATAACACTTGGAAATTATGCTTATTCAGATAATTAAGGGAAGAAAGGACAAAGTCCTTTTATGAGAAGTTTGATTTTTTTTTTTTTTTAATCAAATGATTGCTAAATTGTGGTAACATATACTTAGATAAATTTTCTCCATTTTTTTTGCTTCCCATATAATGTAATGTTTTGTTCTTTATAACTGTGGCTTTATAAAGCTACTACTGCTGTTTGGTGCTTTTTATTATTTGAAGGATAAGGAAAAAAAAAAGACTTCAGAAACACTTCAATAATTCAGTAGTTCAATAAAAACTTAACATATTTTTCTGTTCAACAGGCATTGTTTCATGGGAAATTTATTGACACTGGTTTTTCTCTGCCTTTCTACAAACGAATGCTGAGCAAAAAGCTTACTATTAAAGACCTGGAATCTATTGATACTGAATTTTACAACTCACTAATTTGGATAAGGTTTGTAGTCTATTTTTTGTGTGTGTGGGCGTCTCTTTGATATTTTATGGATTATTTTGTTTATACAGAATTCATTGCAATTTTTTTTTGTTTTTGCATCCAGGGATAATAACATTGAAGAGTGTAACTTGGAAATGTATTTCTGTGTGGATATGGAGCTCTTAGGAAAAGTAACCTCACATGAACTGAAATCAGGAGGTTCAAATATCTTGGTAACTGAGGAGAACAAAGAAGAATATATTGGGTAGGAAGGTGTAGATGCTGAAAAAAGCATTTCATGTTTCTCCTGTTGCTCTATTCTTTTTTGACATGGTGATTTCTGTTGGTTTGGTTTTGACTTTTTCTTCCCATGTTACCATGTAATTCTTGTGACTGTTACTGAAATGGTATCTTGGTACATGTTGCTGATACACGATTACTTGGTACAAAAGGAGAGATGGCCTGTGAAGTCTTATATGTACAGTGAAAGAACAAGTGAAACTGAAATGAGCAAGCCTTTTTCAGTAACTTCAGGTAACAAATCCAGGTAGAGGGAAGGTATCTAATTGACAGAAGATTATAAAATTGTTTAGATCTTTGCTATAAATGTGTAAACTGAAATTCAGAATGGTGTGATTTCAACTTTTTTAAAAACTCTTTCTGCTACTCCTTTTTGCTTATTTCCTAATTTTGTCACTGTCCTTCTTTTTCTGAACCTCTGCTTCTGATCTGTCTATTCAGTCATCTCAAAAGCAGATGTACACACACCCTTTTCTTTGATAGTGTTTGGCCAGTACTGCACATAAAGCTTCCACTTAAATTAGTGATCTTCAGTTTCTCAGAGAAATAGTTTCTATACTATATAGATAAGGTTAATAATAATATTTCTTTTTAACTGGAATGGTAATCTAAGTTACATCTTGCTACTTTACTATTATCTAAATTTGAAGATTTGTGATACTATAGTATAGTAGGTTCCTTATAGTTAATGGAATTGAACAGTGTGAGAACTGAAACTTGAGAGATTCTTACGTGATGGGAACACATACACAATGCTGTGTGTTTGAACTTCTTCATGTTGAATGCTTATTTATGTTTAATTTATGTTTGGTTTTGTTCTATCCCAGGCTTATGGCCGAGTGGCGATTTTCTCGGGGAGTTAGAGAACAAACCAAAGCTTTTCTTGATGGTTTTAATGAAGTAGTTCCTCTACAATGGCTACATTATTTTGATGAAAAGGAACTGGAGGTGAGGTTTTTTATTCAGCATTTTCACCTTTTGCAAAGGTAATACGTATGGAGAGATTAAATGTATAGGTCAGTGTGAATCTTTCCTCTGTGCATGCTGCATTTGATAGCTTCTGGAACATGGAGAATTTATTAGGAGCAGTGGGATTAAATCATGATGAAAATTGAATCAGTGTTTTGTGGTGTTCAGCATAAAAATGTATTTTTGAAAGTTTCTCTGAAAGTAAATGAGATCACTGATGGATCTGAGTCACAGACTTTTCCCTCTTTGGTAGACGGGTGGAATTACCGTGTAACGGATGACACAAAAGTTGAGTGTTTATGATTGCTTAGTATCAAACACATGGTATAAGACAGGTTCTAGGTTTCTTATATTTAAAGACAGAAAATTGGAGGAACCAACAAAGCATGAAATGGAACTTTGCAGATCCTCAGTATGCAACCCAAGGGCTGATTACAAGGATTGCTTGCATGCTCCACATTTACTTAAAAATCAGTCTGGCCTGTGTTCACTCTTGGGGTTGTGATTTGAAGTAGGTACAAAAGGCTCTGTAGTGCTGTGCTCTTTTATTTTTATTTATTTTTATTGTGTGACTTGACAATTTTCCATGTATATAATAAGCAATTTTCTGAAACCTTCTTAAGTTAAATAGGGAGGATTTTTTTTAGGATTTTTTTCCTAAGAAAAGACTTGCTCAGTCTTACTCAGTGTTTAGTTTCATAAAAAGCTTTGCATTTAGAACTTTCAGCTTTCATTGCCTCTTGTAATGAATACTTTTCAGACTTATACTTTTCAGTATGTCTTTATCTTAGTAGTAGCAGTAGCAGCAATTTAATCATCATCGTTTTGGAATAGGAGGTGAAGATTTAATGGAAAGGGTAATATCCTCCTTAATATAAAAATTCCTCTTACACGAAAAGGTAGTATCTTATATTACTGAGCTATTAGTTGGAAGATACCAAGTTTCTGGTATTCAGTCTTTCAGACCACACAATTTTTGAGTAGCTTTGTAGACTTAGGATAAAGGAAAATCTAATTGTGTAGTAAAATGAAAAAATTACCAGTCCTTTTTTCAGAGCAGAAGCTTTCATTTTTCTTACCATGTGTCATGCAAAATAGGAAATACTCTTAATTTATGTGTTTAATGTGAAGAAATCATTATCATTTCTAGGTTATGCTCTGTGGTATGCAAGAAGTTGATTTAGCAGACTGGCAGAGGAACACTGTTTATCGTCATTACACAAGGAATAGCAAGCAGATCATATGGTTCTGGCAGGTATGTTAATCAGTTACATCTCTGACTTCTGTAGGTTTTGTTTTGATCTGTAGCACAAATGACATGTGGAGTGGAGGGATGTCCAAATGAAGGTTCTTACAGCTTCCTTTCTTGGTTTGTTTTCAGAAAAGGAGGACTACTGGTCTTTAGGGAGGATACTTTAGGCTGAGAAATGGCAGATAGATACACACATTACATTTGGATGCTGACTTATGAAAATTTTCTTCTGTATCTTGTCCTGATTATTCTGTGAGATTTCTTTTATTTTTGGTGATCTATCTTCTAATGTTCTTATATCTAGTGCACCTGAACATCTTTCCAGTACCTGAAGGGAGCAAACAAGAAAGATGGAGAGGGACTTTTTACAAGAGCATGTAGTGACAGGATAAGGGGAAATGGATTCCAAAAGAAGGTAGCTTTAGGTTAGATATTAGGAGGAAGTTCTTTGCTGTGAGGGTGGTGAGGCACTGGAATAGATCGTCCAGAGAAGCTGGATGCCCCATCTCTGGAGGTGTTCAAGGTCAGGCTGCATGGAGCTCTGAGCAACCTAGTCTAGTGGAAAGTGTGCATGCTGAGGCAGAGGAGTTGAAACTAGATCATCTTTAAAGTCCTTTTCAACCCAAATCATTCTGGTTCTATGATCTAAAAATGTCGCTTAGTATTTTTGATTATTTGTCATATTAACTGTTTCAGTCTAGCACTGACTAATCTTCACTCACATTTTAATGAAGTTGCCTAAGGAAAACCCTCAAATACTATTCAGGCTCTCAGTTTCTATGAGTTTTCCTAAAGATAAGTCAGACCTAGGGTCTTCCTATCTTTTGAAAAATCACCATTTTAGAGATGCTTTTGACGAAGTTTCTCTGGGAAAGTGTTGTAAATCAGTTATTTCCTATCTTATATCATCAGATCTTACGAAATAAATATCTTTTTAAGATGCCTGGTACTGAAATAATCTACAGCAGAAGTTTAAGTATCAGCATTTATATGCAAGCTTTTCTTAGTCTTGAAATACCCAGAGTCTGTGGGTACACAGTGCTGTGTTTAATAACAATGGCATTAGTCTTTATACGAAGCATTGGCATGATTTAAACTTTAGTGTAGAACAGAATAGGTATTCTTGTTACTTGCTGTTCCCAGTCTTCACATTATAATGGCTGACAGTGCATATAATCTGAAATCGCTGTTCTTTTCCTTCCACTGAGTTTTGCTGAAGTAAAGAAATGCAAACTGGTACCAAACAAAGTGGTGTATTTTTAAATGAAATTATACTTTTTCAACCATCTCATGGGGTTTTTGTTTTTGTCCAGCTGTGTTAAAGCTTTTTATTAAGTAATCTGAATTTCTGTGCCTAGTTTGTCAAAGAAACAGACAACGAGGTTCGCATGCGACTTCTGCAGTTTGTCACTGGCACTTGCAGATTACCACTGGGTGGATTTGCTGAACTTATGGGTAAGTAAAAGGTGACCAGAACTGTTTTTATATTGTCACTGTTTCATTTGCAAATGAACCATTCTGCAAGTGTACAGATAAGAGGAACTTAATGTTCATCACCTTCTATCTAGAATGTTTTTTTATATAATAAATCCTATTTTTATCTAATAAATCCTATGAATACTATAATCCTATGAATATTATAATCTATTTGGAAATCAGCTTGTTTCTGTGAGAAGCATGTTCATGTAACTAATGAACTCTGCCTGCTGTGTCTCAGTTGTGTCTTATGTCATGTATATATCATGTATGCTACTTAAAAGGAACAGATTATACTTTTCAAAATCTTTTCTAGGAAGTAATGGTCCTCAGAAATTCTGCATTGAAAAAGTTGGTAAGGAAACCTGGTTACCAAGAAGTCACACTTGGTGAGTTATGTGTAAACTTCCTGAACCTTAAGTGGTTTATCTCTTCCACGCTTGCATTGGCCAAATCAAATGAAATATAATTTGGATCAATTCTCTATCTCCATCTTCAGCTTCATTTGATTGCCTTGACATGCCAGTATTGAAAACTTTCCTAGTTGCCCTCTTCTTAAATTTTTCAACTGTGCTGAACAGTTTGTCAGTGTCGGATCTATGAAAACATTCTTGTGTAGAACTGAAAGGTGTTTTCCTAATTCTTTCAGAGAATATTAAATAACTGAACAAATCATGTTAGTAGTAGGCACATAATTATTAGATACTGTTATTATGCAGTAACATTATAAAAGATGAAATGTATAGACACTAGAAGAAGTAGCATGAAAGAAATGACAGCAAACCTTCTAAACAAGGATGCTTAGCCAAGAATGCTGGTACTTCTTCCCATCAGGCTTCAGATGGGCCATTATTGGCTTGGCATTCCTGTGCATACTGAACTGGTTCATCAGGTACATAGATCAATTTTTTACATAAAATGTGCAAAATGGACACACTTTCCTTTGGCAACCTGTGACAATAATATTCATCATACTTTTAAACTACTTAAGGCAGCAGCTGACTGAACCAGAGGACACACTCTCAAGCTGTGCTGAGGGAAATATAGGTTGGATATTAGGAAAAAGCTTTTCACGGAAAGAGTGATAAAGTACTGGAATGGTCTGCCCAGGGAGGTGGTGGAGTCACCATCCCTGGATGTGTTTAAAAAAAGACTGGATGTGGCACACGGTGCAATGGTTTAGTTGAGCTGTTGGGGTATGGGTTGACTCAATGATCTTGGAGGTCTCTTACAACCCAGTTATTCTGTGATTCTGTCAAGGGTATTCTCCATTTTACATTTTCTCCACTGAATTTTGTTTTGAGTGATATTTGCAAGAGTTTAACATATCTTGCCTAGGACAAGTTTGGGGAGGACATGGAATGAAATGTTTCAGTAGAAGCCTTTTAGGGCAAAGTTTAGAAGGAAAAAACACCCACCTATATCTAAACGTGTAGGAAGGAGAAAAGTTCAGCTTTTTCATGCTGTTATTGAAATTTGGAGATGCATCAAACTAGGATTATATTAAATTTCATGTTGAAAATTACCTTTTCTATTTATTACTATTATTAGTAATTATTGTAAGTATCATGTTTTTATATGATTTTTTTAAAAGTATTATAATTCTCTGTATCTTGGACAGCCTTTAGTCTTTCACCATTCTGTTTTTTTAATCTGGTAACAGTCTTTTGTTTCTTAAAATATTCCTCTGAAACTTTGTCTATTTTTACTTCTTATAGAAATGCCAAGGCAGTGAGATTGTGTTGATTATTTCTTTTTTTCAAATTGTTAGATCACAACATTTATAACTTCTACTATAACAATTGAATTCTGTAGAGTCCTACATGGGATTTAGATAAACTTAACAAAATTCTGTTTTTTTCCTGCTCAGTTTTAATCGTTTGGATTTGCCACCATATAAAAGCTATGAACAACTAAAAGAGAAGTTGCTCTTTGCCATTGAAGAAACGGAGGGATTTGGACAAGAGTAGAAGTGGCTTCTAGTCAAAAAGGGTATCTTGCATAATAAAAGGCCCAGCCAACTAAAATTGCACACTTAATTGTATATAAGCTTTTTGTTCTGTACAGTGATCTTTCTGGAACTCTAAAAGTTTAATTGTTCTCCGTTCTTCCACAAATATATGCAAAACAGTTCAGCCTTTTCTACTTTTATTTATTGCCCTTTCAAAAGACCAGAAAAACCCCTCCATAAATTTTGAAAGCAGACAAGAGACTTATTTAAAAATATATATATAAAAATATAAATATATATACTAATGGGCTCTAGTTTTATAGAGCTTTAAGTGTATGAAAAGTTGCAGCCATTTAAAAGGGCCTGGATTTGCTTTATCTTGGCTTTATCATTCAGAAAAATGTTTAAACTGCTCAGTGTTCTCTAAAGAAACATCTCCAAGTTTATTTTACTGCATGGCTGTTCTAAAAGGTGTTAAAGGCTTAGGCCAAACGTATCCTAAATATGTAGAAAGATGCTGCTGGTATTTGAGACGACAGAATCTGTTCTTCTGTCCATTTAATTTTTTTAAATACATAAATAGCTGATATATCCCTCTCTACTGATGTAGCCAAGGTCATGAATAAAGCCTTTACTACTTGCACAAGAGTCATGTACAATGAGATGAATGTGATTTAATGTTGAAAGGAATTGGTGCCACTGTTCTGACTTACTGCAGGATCTGAAAATAATATTTTAATTCATTTGAGCAGCATTGAAATTTGTTTACATAGTACCTTGGGTTATTACCACGAGGATGTTAGGTAATCTTCAAAGAAAAAATAATAAAAGAGAAAATATTACCCATTCTCTTCTTGGTCTGGTGTCGTGCAGGTTTTTGTTTTTTCTTTTAAATTTGGTTTTGTTTTATTTGGTTTCCCTTTTCAATCTGTGACGTCCTTTTTATAACTTTGTAGAGTTATATTAATGTAAACTGAGCTATACAAAAGGTAATGTGAATTTTGCTGCTTTCTGTGTTCTTGTTCAGTTTCAGATACTGGATCTAGAAAACTCAAATAAAAGGAAAGTTACTTAAGCTTTGCACAGATAAATATTATTTAGTAATAAATACTCTAATTTCTCTAAAGTACTTACAGAAATTTAGATGTACTTGAATGAAGTACTTCTAAAACCTGTCATCCTTTTATGTAGGTCAGGTTTGTCCTAAGTGCACAATAATATAAAAGCATTTTAAAATTAGTTTTATTGGCATACATTTGCTGAACTGCAAAGATGTGTTAAAAAAACCCCTTATTCATGTGAATTAAATGCTACTTTTAGCAAACTGTGCTTCCTTATTATAGAGTAAAAACGTGTTTTAAATCACCATTTGTAATATGCTTTAAATATTACCTATAAATTCCATTACATTTAAATTACACAGAATTTTGTACACACATTAAAGTGATTTTAGAATATGATTCAACACACTTGTGTTAGCATATCATATTGCACTGTTAAAAGTGTACATGTGGAAAAAAACTGATATATCTGTTCATGTATCTTTCCAATGCAGCAGCTGAATTCTGCCAAAAATTTATTTTTCTACATACTGGGTTGTCTCAAGGCTTTGTATTCAATATGCACAGCTTACACTGGAGCTGTACATGTACAGAGCTCTGGTCCCAGCAGTGGTGCAGGGGGCCTAGACTGCTGTCTTACATGAACTTTACTGTAAGAGCTTCAAATATTTCCACCACTTTGAGGGTTTTTCATACACCACCAAGTATCTTCTGCAGAACCATGTTTATATAGCACTAAATTCATTTGAAGTGCAAATCCACTTAAATTATCACTTATGTTGGTTAGAATGGAGGAAGTTTAAGAAAACAAACCTAGAAGGTCAAAGGTCAGGCACCAGGAGTGTAACTTACCTAAAAGACAAGGAGGGCTAAATGTCACAATTAATGAATTTGCACTAATGAATGACTTGGTGACACACTACCAACTGCTGAATTTTGTGAATCTGTGAGTAACTGAACAAAATAAAAAAGACAGCACATCACAAGAATGTAGTTGTTTTATTGTTTTGGTAACTTCAGCTGTCTCATATCCACAGTGGTTTTTCCTGCGGGTGAGGATTAGTAAGCATGAAAAAACCAAATCCAGAAGCTTTCTGTCCATATGTATGATCTGTCAATTGGTGTCAAGGGTCTGACTGAAGGAATGGCTCCAGACGAAAAGAAAGCAAAATTATTCTACCTGTGTGCATGTGTGTACAGTACTTCAGTTCTCTGGTTATTTCAGTAAGACTATGTTGTAGTATTTTTTTCCCCACTTGAATTCCCCATATTTCACCTATATTTGGTGTGACTGAGTAAGAGAGCAAAAAGAGGGAAGGCAGCAATGGTTGCAGATCAGACCAGGGTACCAGGGAGGTAATACTACTTGAAGGAGCTGTTGTGTAGTTCATGGGTTTTGTTGTTTCCTTTCTTCCTGCAACTCAGCTGCTCTTCACTACACACTCCACAGCTATTACTCAGTACCTGGATATTCTTACTTTGTGCAGCAGCAGCAAAGGCACCTAAGTAAAGGCACTAGAAGCAACTATGCAGATGTTTTGGTAAAATATGAATGCAGAAAATTCTCAAACACTCTACCATCCACCCTGAGGCACTGTGACACAGAGGACTTGATTATGATGCTTTACTAATAGAAAAATAATAATTACTTTATGGTAGTTGAGAAAACCCTGTTTTAACTGTAGTTTTGTGGCATCAGGTTGTAATTCAAGCCCCAGAATCTCCTTCAACCATGAATTTTTACTGCTGACTTAGCTCGGGCTTGGTTTGTAAGTCTAAGCAATTTATGCTGTTCTTCACCTTCCTCCTAGACACTGCAATACCCTTTCCTTTCCTAGTAAAGCAAGTATTAGGTATTTCTAGTCATTTTTTTCTAGGCTGTTCTACTGACAATACCACATGTAAGTGATTGCCTACCATTTTTTCATTTTGCTCCCCTTTTTCTCTTGTGTAATTGGAATATATTGTTTGGCCGGACACCTAACTTAGGTTACTTTATATTTCTGGTGAAAATTCCTGCCAACATCGTAGAAAGAACAAGAAGAAAGTTTTATGTCTACAAACAGAAGACCACATCCTTCCACACAGTAGTTCCTTTCTAATGTACTGGGAGTGTGTATTTCTCCTGTGTGTATTTCTCACAGTCGGTAAAGTGTGTGTGCCCAGCAAACATTTACAGCCACTTAAATCATCAGAAAGCTTCTCACTGCATTTGTTGATATCACCCACGAAGGGATTTTCTTAGATGTTCCCTATTTGTTCTTTTTTCCTTAGTTTTTTATTTTAAACCACAACACTTTCTGCAAAGTCAAACATTAGCATTTAAGACTATTGGAATTAAGATGGTGCAGCCTTAAAGATAAATCTGTAGGAGCATCTGTAACTCTTGAAGGCCGTTGAACCTTACAGGAAAAGACTGTAGAAAAAAACTGCAGGATTATAATTATTTCATGACCCTGTCCCCCATTTCTTTAAACTTTATACTAGTCATGTTTCTCATTATTCCTCATAAATAACTTGTAGTTTAAAAGTGTAAAAAACTCAATTTCAACTCCATGCTATTACTCTCCCAGCCTTTTCTGTCTAACTATAAACCCTGTGAACGAAGCTTGTGAGTGAAGCTCCCTTCATTCCCATGTAAATGAACAGACAAGATCACATAATGAAACAGATCTTCCAGTTCAGAGTTTAATAGAAATGAGGAGATAAAAGGTCTGTACTTTAAGTAACAGCTTCACTAAACGAAAGTAGTATTTGTGGCCTTTTTCCTATGCTGCTCAATCCTGAGGCACTGAATTCCCATTATCTTGTTTCTTCTTATATAGAATTAAGTAGCTCCAAAGCTTCTTTCTGTACCTGAAAGAAATAAATGTAATGTAACAGTCCCAGGTAGTTACAGGCTCTTCCAGCAAAACTTCTCTCACAAGCACCCAAATATTTCACTGCAATTATATAAGTTCAGAACAGTCCTAGGGACAAGTAATTTTTCTTCCATAGTTTAAGATGCTCAATACTTGAAATATGAATAGGAATAAAACACTTATGTAGTAAGTGATTTGCACTGAAGACGCTGGCTTAAATTAAGTTTATTTGTGTTGAATACAAATACTAGTTCTTGATTTGCTACAGTCCAATAGTAGCATGCAGGAAGTAGTCCTACCTCTGACCATACCCAACCAACCTCGAGTTTTCAACACTCTATAGACAGTGACTAAAAAGCGTGAGACCATTTCTGAGGCTGTGTCCTAAGGTTTCTGGTTAAAACCTAATAAAAGTTTTCATATGATCTCTGACATTCATATTAAAACACCCCCCAACAACAAACTGAACAAACAGCAAAAAAAATCTCAACACCGTCTCCTTCCTCCTCAAACCACAAAAAAACCTCCAACCCAACAAACTTCTGGTAATGACACAGCAAGCCATGCAGATAGTGTAAGCCAGATACCTCTGAGCATGTAAAAAATGTTCAGGAAACCTAGTTATGCTGAGACAAGAATTCAGATGTCTTTGCAAAGGCCAGTTTCCTTCAACTAGACTATCAAGTCTAGTTCCCAATGAATTTTGCATTTTGCACATTCACCTAGAGAATGAGGAGAATGCCACCTTTCTCAGTTCAGCAGCTCTGCACCCCTCTAAGAGATTAGGAAACAGATGTCTCTACGAGGAGGCCACAAGCAGCTGAAGCAGATGAGCGGTTTAACAACTTGGCTACTGCACAGAATTCACTCCTGACTATACTTTTTTATGGTTCCTAAAGAAAGACAAGTTTTTGGGATCACTGGTTTCACATGTGCCTCCAGCTACTAGTAACTGTCAGAAGAACTGACCAATTTCTTACATACCTGAGACCACTCCTCCTTTAGGCTATAAAACGCCTAAATATTTTGCAAGGCACTAGAGGAATGTAAGACTCATATTTCCACTAAAAGTTATTACTAAAGGAAGTCTGGGGAGAAACTGTTTGAGGCTTACTAGTGAAGCTACAGAGGGATTCTGAAACACTACCTAAGTAGTGTTTTTTTCTGAGGTGTGTAATGCATAATCCTACCAAACTGTTTCTTACATTGGACATTCAGAGTGCGCATCTCAAGTGCAGCTTAATGCTAAATGAAATAGAGGTCAATCAACCATAAGAAAAATCAAATGGAAATGAGGCTTTGTTAGTCCTGATGTTAAGAGGATTGTTTTAGAAAGGTTAACTGAATGCATTATCAGGTATGAACAAGTCTAATAGATAACCTCTCCTGGAAGTACTTTGAATGTTTAGGTAGGAAGCAGATGCCTACCCTCCAAACCAGAATCCTTCTGCACAGTTGCAAAGGGTAATAAAGTGACTCACGTCATCTAGCACTGGAGATTTGCTGTCAAAGATACATCCCCTTAATTTGTCTTATTCAGATCACCTGAATCTCTCCCTAGGGACCTGGAAAGGACTGCAATGGTAAGGTTTTGGTACATCTTGTTTTTTTCTTCCTTGTGTTCACATGACTGTGAGCTATTCCAAAATATAATTCCTACTTTACCCATTTCAGAGATACGAAAGTTCACATAGAAACAGGCTATGCCTGCCTGAACTTCAGCA